GAGGAGGACAGGACTGGTTGGAACCCAGGAAGCCAAACCCAATTTTCTAGATGGCAGACCTTAAATCAGCCGCTGCCAGGCTCAGTCTCCCCGTCCGTAAAGAGCAGAGCAGAACACACTACCCTTCCAGCTCAGACCCTCTGTGATTCTTTATCATCTATGGTATTTTTCTTTGGGTTTCCTTTCATTTGCCCAAAATACTCCTCCTTAAAAACATATACTTTGTCTTCAGAAGAATTCCTTAGCCTCTTGCTTTCTGGGAAGTAACAATTTGCTAAACTAAGTAACAATTTGCATGAATGAAATGACCCTTCATTTTCTGTAAATGAAACTAAACACCAACCAATCGCAAACTAAAACAAACTCCCAGTGGTAGTAAAGTGGTAATAACTATTATTAGGCAGGTATCAGGAATGACACAAGGGGTAATAAGCATTTTTCGCAATTATAATAAGGCACAATTAGTTGGAGGAGCAAGCAGCTTCACCTCTTCCCCACCCCGGCTCTTCCAGCTAGAAATGACTTCAACAAAGTGAAGGCTCTGAGGGCTCGAAACAGGGAATCTTTTGTGGACCAGAGTTAGGGAGCAGGAAAATGAATCACAGAGAAGCCATTGGGAGCGAAGCAAACATTTGCTGAATGCCTACCCTGTGTCCCTCTCTGTGCTGGGGCTCTTCAATTTCCTTCATTGTTTTTCACTCTTTTGGACCTCAGGTATAGAGTAGTTAATCATGCTCACCAGGCACCAACTTTTATTTCATCCTTTCTCAGAAATAAATAAGATGGCCATTATTATTCCCATTTTACAGACGAGAAAACTGAGTTGCTCAGTGTCCCCCAACCAATCCTGGTCGAGCGGGGATCTGAGCCCTGGCCTGGCTCTGCTCAACACCACAGTGAGACAAGCAATCAAGACCCACCTTGTCTTACACCCCTGCACTCCAGCTGGGTCCAGTACATCACATGCACAGAAAGTGTTCAGTAAACATATGCGGACAAAGATCATGGTGATGAGACTGATGGTAAAGTTGGGGGCATCCGTGGACAAAGAGGACCTGGGGGGCCAAAGGGGTGACCCAAGGGAGACCTCAAACAAGACTCAATGAGGGGGCTATCTGCCTTCAATAGGAGCCCCCTTATCCACCACCGGCCTTGGAGGGGTTAGAGACCAGACTTGAGTGAGGACCAGACTTCCAGAACAAGAGTCAAAACACAGGTAGGGCTAGAGCTCCATGAGGAAACAGAATTGAGGCCAGTGTTCCCACTGTACAGAGGAGAAGACTGAGGCCTGAACAGTAGGAGTGACTCCCTCAGGGTCGGACAGGGAGCTGGTGTAGAGCTAGAACCAGGGGCCAGGTCTCCTGATCCCCAGCCTCATGCCCTTTCCACGACCCCTGACTTATCAGAAGGCCTGCAACTCCTGTGTCAGGGTTCCTTTTGCAAACATGATTGGCTGAGGCCCAGGCCACACATGGTGGGGAACTCTGGACATCTGCCCCCAGATCTGTCCCCAAAAGTGAAACTTGTTAGCCATGGGCTGTGGTGGCTGGAGTTAAGCCACTGTAATCGACCCCAGCATCTCTTCCAGAGGCTGCTTACCTGGGACCGGAACGAGGGGAGGGGAGGCCCTTAAGATCCCCCCCACAGGAGCCCCCTGGGCCTTGCGTTATGACACCCATCAACCATGGCCACCCCTGGGCTGGGGGGTTCTAGTGCATGAGTGAGACCAAAAGTGAGATCCACAGACTTGAGACGTCACCCCTCAGTCAGTGAGAACGAGCAATGCTTTCAGGAGGGATCTTACGTACCCTCCCCGCCCCCACTCTTCACTCCAGGAAAACGACTTGCACAGAACTGTGTAACAACTGTAGAGACTACAAACTCATCACTAACTTCCATCCTAGGCAAGTAAAAAAGGATGAAGGCCCACAGACGTGGGGATTTGGAATGTCGAGGGTCACCCAACTCAACTTCTTTTAACGGATGGGGCAGCTGGGGTCCAGCCAGGTAAAAGGCCCGCCCAAGGCCACACAGGAAGGGAAGAGACGTCATTCTACTTCAACTAAACAAAGGGGGAGTCCAGATGAGGATCAACACCAAAAAAACCCTGTTTTTAAAAAAACAGTTATCATTCACATGCTCTAAGATTGACTTTTAAAGTGCAGTGTGCAGTGGTTCGTGGAACATTCAGAGTTGTGAGACCAGCAACCCCATCTAATTACAGAATGTTTTCATCACCCCAAAAGAAACCCTGTCCCCATGAGCAGTCAGTCCCTATCCCCTCAGACGCCCACATCCCAGGCAACCACAAATCTACTTTCTATCCCTGGGGATTTGCCTCTCCAGGATATTTCACACAAATGGATGCATATAGCATGAGGCCTTTTGTGCCTGGCTTCCTTTACTCAGCATACTAGTTTCCAGGCTCATCCTTGCTATAGCTCCTATGGTAACTTCATCCTTGTTTATGGCTGAATGATGGTCCACATTCTGTTTATTCCTCCATCAGCTAATGGACATTCAGGTTGTTCTCACTTTTTGGCTCTTAGGAATAACATTACTATGAACAATACCAAGCAACCTTTAGCTGGTACCCCTCTTTTCACTCTGACACCCCACCCCACCATGGATCTGAGAGGGTAGAGCCCCAGGACATTAACTCAGGTGGGACAAAAGGTCAGAAAAGAAAGCATAAGCTACCCCAGGCCCTCTGTCTCCTGCCCTCTTAGAAGCTATCTCAGTTCTCGCAAAAGTTGTGTTAATTTCTAAATGACAACTTACATGGTCTAAACGTTAAGGGAAGAACTCTTAGAGCCCCTGGAAAGAAATGATCGTGGGCAGGAGGGAGGGAAGGAGGGAGAGGGTGGGGGGGAGACAGATCAGAAACTCCAGCCCCCTCAGACGTCCAGCCTCAGGCATCAACTTCAGGAATCTCCTCCAACTCCCTTCAGAAGGGAGAGCAGTCAGCCAGGGGCCAAGTGTACCAGAAGGCTAGCGCTCGGCCCAGCTCAGCTCAGCCCAGACATGCCTCTGGTCAGCCCCCAGGGGGTACTTAGCCTTCTGGGATCTAGACCCTAGATCTAAAGCCAGAAGAGTTCACAGCCTCTCCCAGTGCCTGGTCAAGTTTCAATTCGAGACATTACCTTCTACTCCCATCTGCACAGCCTAGCATCTTGCTTAGGAAGGATCCACACGCCTTCCTGGGCCTCCCAGTTTCCATCCTCCCAAGGGGTGGTCTCCCGAGTGCCTGTCCTCTCCACCTCCTAGAACCTGAAGGCTCAACCCCAAGCCCTGGGGTGGGAGGCACAGAAAAGAAGCTCCTGGCGCTTTAAGGCCGGTGGAGCCTAATTGCCCAGATTCCCCCGGCAGCCAGATAAACAGCGCGGCCGGCTGGCGCCAGCAAGAGGCAAACTGCACATTATCACCCCTTCCTCACCTCCAAGGAGGAGCTCGGAGGAGCAGGGCGGGCAGGCCGAGGGGCCGCCAGAGGGGCGGGGCGGGGGCTTGGAAGCCCAACTTGAAATTGATCTCATTTCAAAGGGATAATGCCAGGCCAAATAAAAGGAAAACTTTCTAGCCCATTCTAATTCCTATAGTCCTGGCCTGGGAACCCTGTGTTTTCCTAGGCGGCCTCCTTCAGTCATTTAGAAGTTCTCTCTCTAGCTCTGTCTCTCTTTCCCTGGCGCAATTTGGATAATAGTAATCTACTGAATATAATTACAGAAAAAAAAAGTGGTGAAGCAAAGAGCAGGAGATTTATTCCAAAGTTAATGGATACTTTCAGGAGAAAGGAGCTCTATAAACACAGGTTAGAACTGTGATTAAAGTATTTCTCCACATTTCCGTCCACATAGGCACCGAGCTCAGTGAACTGACAGAAAGACACACAAGAGGAAGGGAGAGCTATGGCCTGACTCCCACGGGAGCGGGAGGCCCCGGGGCAGAGCTGGGCACAGGGGACCACACTTTCTGAGACAAGCATGGGGGAGAGGGCAGGCCTGTGTCACCTGGAATCTGCACGTCAGACCTCCAGGAATTCTGTTCACCCCCCTGCTTTACAGATGGGGACAGAGGCTTAAAGAAGGGGACTGGCCCCAAAGCAAGCTGAAGGATGGAGCAGGGTTTGCTCCAAGCAGCAAGGGACCGAACTGCCCAGAAAAGGGCCTCCTGGCACTAGGGATCCCTGGGGAGGCCAGAGTGCCAGGTGGGTGTCCCTCAGTTGGCCTGCTGGGTGTTCCAGCGAGATGCATGCCTGCTCTGTATGTGGGTCTGTCTGCCTGTCTGCCTACCCTGGTGCCCCAGCCCTCTTCCCCCAGAGCCCTGGAAGGAGCGGTCTCCTTATCAGGACGCGCACGGCTGAGCTCCAGCTATGCACCCGCCCAGCTCCGGGAGCCAGGCTGGCGGCCAGGAGGCAGGGGTGGGGTGGGCAGCAAACGGCTCCCCTAGTTCTCAGTCCTGGAGGCCCAAGCCATCAGGCAGGGGATGAAGCAAGAGGGTCAACCTAGCACCTACCCGAAACTTCCCAGACCATCAGTCCTCCCAAGTGCCCTCAGGTGGCTTGAATGGGGGACCGGGGGAGCCCTGAGCTAGTGAAGAGGCAGAATAAACCCAGCGCCTGCAATAGCGCCTCCTTCTGGGAGGAGCAGAGGAGGCGAATGCCAATGCTTAGTCTAGAATTAGATGTGGACAATGTTTCTAGAGCACTGACCCACAGGGAGACTCAGTGACAAGGTTACTCCTCCAAGGTCAAGTTGTCATTACTGGCAGGGCAGAGCCTAGGACCAGGTCTTTGGGTAAGAACCATTCCAGTGCAGTGTGCCCTTTAACTGAAAACTGCCCAAGTCCACCAAACTCAAACCAAGGCCCAAAATGACTTATCCAAGGAGTAGGGGCAGCGGTGGGTCATCTCTGTTTTCTCCAATTTTTTTCCGCCACCCCTTCCCGCCCACACACCTGAGCTTGCCTGGCACCTTGATGCTCAGCCGGCCCTCTCCTCCTCCCCCTCGACACCCACCTCCTCTTACGCATCCATCCTCCAAGGCCGCGTTCCAGGTTAGAGCTATGAGGCTCTGGGCGGTGCTCCTGTTACATGCACACTCCACAGTGCTCTCAGAGTTCATCCCCACTAGCCAGGCCCTTCCTCCCCCATCACTGCCCCATCTCTCCCCCAACCCTCACCCGAAGATTCTGTTTCTCGAGGACACTGATCCTACTCATATGTCCCCTCTCCCTGCTACAGCACCCAGCAGAGTGCCAGGCACAGAGTAAGTGCTCAGCAAACATTTGCTGTCAGACGGATGCGGTGAGAGAGAAAATGCCCGGTAGGGCCCTCTAGGAGAGCAGACGGGGACCCCACTGTTCTCTCCCACTAGGATAAAGAACTAGGGACAGAGCAACCACAAGTAGGGTTCTCTTCCCCAGAGGCAGGGAGGAGCCAGAATGGAAGAGGGGAGAAAGCCACTTACAGGGGAAGCTGTCAGGAAGAGCAACAAGAGGCACAGAGGGCCGGCAGTAAGCCACAGGTCAGGGACAGCCCAAAGCCCCTGAATCAGGCCTAGAAGGACCATGTCTGGAGCAGGGCAGTCAGGTCAGTGCTGCCCCCTCCTCATCCTCATCAGTGCTCTCTCTTCAGGAATCATCACTGAGGCACCGTCCTCCCTCTCTAGCCACCACCACCTCAGACACAAACAAGACACCCGGGATAAATCCATGCTCCTAGCCCCACCCTCCCCTTCCACACTGGGAGTCAGGAAACCTGGTGATCAGACCCTCTTATGTGCCCCTAGGCTGGGTGCTGACCCTCTCCTGAGGGGCCAGACTGGAGGGACTGAGAGCCTGCCCGGGCCCAACAGCTATAGCCGCCTGGCAGTCCCACCCCTGGGGAACCCCCAGTGCCACCCAAGATGCACACATCCAGAAGATGCTACAGGCTAAAATGCATGATCTCTGCAGTGCAGGGTCGGGTGAGGGGAGTGCGAGCTTCTGGCCTGCCAGGAGTCTCCACCTGTCCTCACCTCTGCTTCGGCACCCAGGGCCTACTCAGGTAAGCAGGGCTGGGAAGAGGGTGTGTGTGCAGGAAATCCCAGGAAGAGAACAAAGAAGGGGGCAGTTCTCAGAGGTAATAAAATACCTGGCCTCCTTGCCTACTCAGACACCTCCTGGACCCTCAATCCTCTACAAAAGCTGGGCACAGAATTGCAAATGATGACAGAGAGCCCTGGCAGATGACACCCAAGGGATGCCAATTGCAATCAGGACAAGAAGGTGGCCTCCACTCTGAGAGGGGTTACCCTGCAAAAGCTATGCTCCGAAGTATAGAAAGGAACAAGTGAGACCATTTACACTTTTGACTCTAGCCATGAATTGTCTGCAATTTCACAACTTACATCCGCCTGGATACAACAAAGTATTCCGTAGGTATAGGTACATGCACACAAATGCTAAATGGGCTGGGAGTAGGGGGGTAGCACTCCTGTCTTTGGCTTCTCCTAGACCTGACCGCTCCTTCCACGGTCTAAGAAGTTGGAGCCTGCTTTAGGTGTCTGAAGCTGCACAGAGAATACTCCCTTATGAGCCTGCAGGAGCCTCAGGATGAAGCTGCCGTTTGATGTGTGCACCCACATACCCATTCATCGGCTTCTCTGCCCGGGTAAGGCGCTCTCACGCTGCAGGGGCACCTGGGAGAGCACGCGGGAGAGCACCCGCAGATCCGGCCGCCCGAGGTGTCCCCAAGAGAGAGAAGCCCAGGGCAGGGGACGGGAGGGGAAGCCCGGGGCCCCGCCGGGCGCGGCGCGCTCACCTGGCCCGCAGAGCCGGCTGAAGTGGTAG